TTATCTGCCCCCTCATCTCTACCATCTGGAGAGCAGTTTTAATTCTGAGTGCTCTCCAGCCCTCACCTGCAGATTGGCAGCAGTGGTTCTCCAGGAGGAAAAGTACAGTCTTTCTCTGCAGTGGAGACCAAAGCTTACATAGTTCTCCTCTCCCCCATTTTGATCTGCACAACAACCCTGTGAGGTAGGTATGCTGAAAGTCTGAGTGGTCTGAAATCACCCAATCAGCTTTCACAGGAAGAATCTGGGTCTGGAAGACCCTACTCTGAAGCGCTAACTGCTACATCACACTGGCTGTCTTGCGGAGGCCACCTCAGCAGAGTATAATGGCACCGAGCCCACCATTTTCTCCAGGGGAAGTGATCTCTGCCATCTGGAGAGCAGTTGTAATTCTGAGTGATCTCCAGCAATAATAGAAGAAAATTTTCTACAGAAATTACTACAGTAAACGTTTTTGCAACTTATATTTATTGACTCTTTGTTATTTTTGTCACGGATGTTGTTTTTGGAATTCCACTTCCTCCCGTGATCTCTCATTTTTGGCCTCACCTGGAGATTGGCAGTGGGCGGGGGAGAGGAGCGGACCCAGCCCCCAGTCAATGGCATGCAAGTACTCTTGAGTGGTGGTTGATGGGCCATTGGCTGATGGAGTGCACTGCACAGCCAATGGGACAGCTGGAAATGGCCAATATGTAAGGGAATTAGATATATATGATAGTGAATTAATTTCAGCTTGCAACCATTGCAGCCGTGCTTGGCATTCTTTTGCAAGCTAGTTTTGGTCAGTTCATATGACTGCAAACCGTGAAAAACTGATTTGACTAGATCCTGTTAATGGGAACACACAAAGCAAACATTTGTGCCATAGGCAACAGAATATTGAATTGGATTCAAGCAGCTGTTCCAGTGGTGAAAAAGGAAGAAGGGGGTTCCTTTGACCATGAAAACATCTATGTTGGGAAATATGGGACTTGCATGGACTAAAGCTATGTATGATGGGGGCTGTAACACGGTGAGAAATTGGGCAGGAGACTTGCTAGCCTGGGCCACTGGTTCCCTCAGGGGAAAAATGGGACCGGGGTGGTTTAGCATTGGGCTAATGTGCAATGTTGTGCTTCCGACACAAAACCAGAAGTGATGTCATTGTGGCAGCATGCTGCTTTGGGATTCACTCAAAAATTGCTTAGATATGAACAATTGTGTATATGTTACAATAGGTGTTCAAAATTTGGTTTGAAACCTGTGAAACTTGACAATTCCCAACAATTCTTGTGAATGTCAACATACACTTATGCACCGTCTCTCTAAAGTAGTGTGACTTCTGTCTGGGCATGTAGAGATTAATCCACCACTCTCATCAACCTTTTGGATTTGGTTTGCTTGAGAAACCATGTAGTGACATGACAGATAATCATATAAGCTCATAGTCTGTTTCTAATTTCAGGGAGGAGAACATTGTTATTACCACGGCCACCTGCGAGGGAATCCAGAATCCTTTGTTGCCCTTTCAACATGCCATGGGCTTCAGTAAGTTTAAATATGATGCCCTGTAAATTGGTGAAATGTTAGTAGTCATTTTATTAAAAGCAGCTTTGTGGTAAAATTTAAGCCAGGCTTTGTTTGTTTCATCCTGCCGCTTTTTGACAAGTTGTTTGTAATGGCTAATATTATTGGCATGTTTTATTGAGTTTGTTTTTATTTGTTCTTGCTGATGTGATTTGTGGATTTGTGCTCATTGTTTTTACTGTTGTTTAGTGTGTTGTGTTTTGCTATTTTAGCCACCTCAAGCAGGTCTGGAGAGGCAGCATACACAATGTAATAATTCCACAAGAACACCATGCCAGAAGGATTGAAAATTTATTGGAAGGAAAGCAGGGCCCTTGTTAGCCTCTGCTTGAGCAGAAACAGAACAGCCAACAACCAGAAGAGGAAGTGAAACCAAACTACAGCGGGGCCTTTTTGGCATTAAGGGATCAGGGGGAAATAACTAAACAGTTCAGTAAGGGAACATCACCAAATTCACAGCTTGCTAAGATATAACACAGGTTCTAAATATATATTTTAGAATTGGCTCACAAATTACATTGATTACTGAAAGAGCAATTTGTTTAAAAAATTTATACCTACACTTTCAGCCTCTTTCCCCAAGGGAGCTTCCAGGAACCAAAAGCAAACACAAAGGCTTCTGTGCTTACCCATGAACAATAGGGATACACATCAGATAGACAGAACCAGAGCAGATACGCTTACAGTGCAGTCCTCAGCAGCAGTACACCATTCTAAGTCCACTGAAATCAGTGGGTTTTGAAAGGTGTAATTGTTTAGGATTGCAATGCTCATCTCTGGTTCAAATCTGATCTCAGACATGCTTATCAGGTAGGCCTAGGGAGAGCCGTGGGATCAGTTTGAGACTGTTTCCTCTGGAGGAAAGAGTCCTTCCTCCCATGAAAGATCCCTTGCCTAATGAAAGGAGAACTGATGCTTCTGACATCCTGTCTCAGGGGCTCAGTCTGTGAGATACAATAAAAGTGGCCTGGGCTGGTAGTGTGGTTTATGAGATAGTGCATGTGAAGCATTTGGAATCTCTAAATGTACTGTTCTTGATGTATTTTTATATTTTGCATATGTACGAATGCAAGATCAATCTTGAAGACTATATGGTTTCTAAGGTCATGCAGTGAATGTGGTATCACTATAAATAGAAGCACTTACCTCAAGAATCTTAGTCATCATCATTCACTTTCCCCGCAAAGCGTACACTTATGGGATTGTCACTGATTGATGGTTTTAAGTATCACTTTTCTAAAGCATGTTTTAAATAATTATGTATGCATTTGTAAGGCCGGGTTTATTTTACGTGGTCAATAATTTAAACGTTTTGAGATAATCAAGTCTTGGGAGTGGGATATAACTCTAGGAACTTGATTTCAAGTTAATACTAAATTTACATTTAGAAAAACCCAGCAGATTGCGTTATGTGTTTGGCTTCTTTTAATAGTAAGGTATTGGCTTTTATCTGTGATGCTCTTTGCTAATTGAATGGTGAAGAAATCTTGGGATGCTTGAGACAGCTGATAGTTCTTTACTTATCTTATACTGATGCCTGGTGATTTACAATTAAATCTCTGCGTTATCATGGCTTTGACTTTTTGCGCTTATTTCAAACATACAAGACTCAATCAGAAGAACATAAGAGAAGCCAATGTTGTATCAGGCCAATGGCCCATCCAGCCCAACACTCTGTCACACGGTGGCCAAAAATACCAGGTGCCATCAGGAGGTCCAGCAGTGGGGCCAGGACACTAGAAGCCCTCCCACTGTTGCCCCCCCAAGCACCAAGAATACGGTGCATCATTTGCCACAGACTGAGAGTTCCTATCTATACCTTGTGGCTAATAGCCACCGATGGACCTCTGCTCCATATGTTTATCCAATTCCCTCTTGAAGCCGTCCATGCTTGTAGCTGCCACCACCTCCTGTGGCAGTGAATTCCATGTGTTAATCCCTCTTTGGGTGAAGATGTACTTCCTTTTATCTGTTCTAACCCAACTGCTCAGGAATTTCATTGAGTGTCCACGAGTTCTTGTATTGTGAGAAAGGAAGAAAAGTATTTCTTTCTCTATGTGCTCTATCCCATGCATAATCTTGTAAACCTTGATCATGTCACCCCTCAGTTGTCATTTCTCCAAGCTAAAGCGCCCCAAGCGCTTTAACCTTTCTTCACAGGGAAAGTGTTCCAACCCTTTTATCATTCTAGTTGCCCTTTTCTGCACTTTTTCCAATGCTATAATATCCTTTTTGTGGTGTGGTGACCAGAATTGTACACAGTATTCCAAATGAGGTTGCATCATCGATTTATACAGGGGCATTATGATACTGGCTGATTTGTTTTCAGTTCCCTTCCTAATAATCCCCAGCGTAGCGTTAGCCTTTTTTATTGCAGTTGCACACTGTCTAGATATTTTCAGTGAGTTATCTATGACTCCAAGATCTTTCTCTTGGTCAGTCTCTGCCAGTTCGGATCCCATCAACGTGTATTTATAGTTAGGATTTTTGGCCCCAATGTGCATCACTTTGCACTTGGCCACACTGAACCTCATTTGCCATGTTGACGCCCACTCGCCCATCCTCAACAGATCTCTTTGGAGATCCTCCCTGGTTCTCACCACCCTGAACAATTTCGTGTCATCCGCAAATTTAGCCACTTCACTGCTTACTCCCAACTCCAAATCATTAATGATCAGCTCTAGGTCTTCTTCAAGAGGGACAATATATATATATATATTCTTGGTCTCTTTGAACTATTATGGATATACAAGAGGCAGGACCCGCAATACTCGCAGGGGGAAAGTATTCCCCACAGACAGCTCCCAGCCTGCAGAAGCAGGAGACGTGGCAGCAGGTGAGCCCAGCCTTTTCCCTCCCCCCCAGTGGCGGCAGTGAGGCTGGCCCGCCAAGCTTTCTCCTTCCCCCCTCCCTCCCCAGCAGCAGCGGCAAGGCCAGCCCACCAAACTTTCTCCCTCCCCCTCCCTCCCCAGCAGCAGCGGCGGTGAGGCCAGCCTGCCAAGTCTTCTGCCACCCCTGTGGCAGTGGCAAAGCTTTCTCAGAGCATTTCCTGCACATGCGCAGGGAACGCTCCTTTAGTTTTGGGGGGATTTAAGTATCCACCCTATAGCTTTTTACAGTTTTTAGATTTTTCTGCACATCTGGGGATTGCCCCAAATGTGTGGGGAAATCTCCCTGCCCCCCAGGTGCCCCCGATGTGCGGATTTAGGTATCCATACGCAGGGGGCGCCTTGGCTATTTTATGGATATATTAGATGTGTAGTGCAATCCTAAGCAAGTTTACTAAACTCAGAGCCTAGTGAGGGTGCTGAGGATTGCATCCTTTAGGGTCTGTTGCTTTTGCACTGGTGTTTTCTAAACAATTATTTTTGCTTTTTATCTTTATTAAACATTATGGATTTATATTGCTTTAAAAAATTGTTGTAACCTGTCTTGGGTGTCTGACAAGTTAGAGAAGTGGGCTATATGTGCTTTTACTTAATTACAATCCAGCAGAAGTTTATTTTGCCAAAGCCTTCACATTTCTACAGAGATATGTAAGAAAGTACAAGATTGTAAAAAATCCATATAAATGCAAAAGCCTTTGTTGAGACACAAAAAATCGTAACTTTAAAGATATGCTGGTTGGGATATGACTTGGCTGTGACTGAGAGGGAAAGGGGACTATAGTGGATAGCTCAATGAAAATGTCAACTGCTCATTGAATATGGCTCAGCTAAAAAAGGTAAACACCATGCTGGAGATAATTAGGAAAGAGACTGAAAATAGAACAGCCAGAATTGTGATGGCCTTTTAATAGAGCTATGGTGCAACCTCACTTGGAATACTGTGTATAGGTCTCGTTGCGTTATCTCCAAAAGTGTATTGCAGAGCTGAGGAAAGGGCAGAAAAGGGTGACCAGGAAACTTACTTAAGTGCCGGAGCTCCTTTTCTATGAGGAAAGGCTTTTCTATGAGGAAGAGTTTGGGAAGTTTCAGTGTAGAAAAAAGATGACTGAGGTGGAATGTGATGGAATCAATTAAATGAGGATTATCAAACACCCTTTATGCATAAGTTGTTGTTGTTCAGTCGCACAGTCGAGTCCGACTCTTCGCGACCCCATGGACTAGATCCCACCAGGCCCTCCTGTCTTCCGCTGTCCTCTGAAGTTTGCTCAGTTTCATGTTTGTTGCATCAATGACACTGTCCAACCATCTCATCCTTTGCCGTCCCCGTCTTCTTTGACCTTCAATCTTTCCCAGCATCAGGGTCTTCTCCAGTGAGTGCTCCCTTCTCATTTGGTGACCAAAGTATTTGAGCTTCATTTTCATTATCTGGCCTTCCAGGGAAGAGTCAGGGTTGATTTCTTTTAGGATTGACTGATTTGATCTTCTTGCAGTCCAAGGGACTCTCAAGAGTCTTCTCCAGCACCATAGTTCAAAAGAATCTATTCTTCGGCGCTCGGCCTTCCTTATAATTCAGTTTCTTTCAGAAAAAGAAGTGGTTCCCTCTTTTATTAAGGATAAATATTGACTCTGTTTCTGAATATATTGTTCCAAAAATTGGTAAATCTACTAATGCTTTTAATCTGTTTATAAGCTGTTGTAAGCAATAAGGTATATGACATGTAAGAGTATTGTATTGCTAGTAGTTTGTATTAATATATCAGAACCAACTTTGTTTTGTTCGTTATATTATTGTTATGTTCTTCATTGTTATATGTTGAAAATAAAATAAAATTAAAAAAGAGGTTTATGAAATTATACACGGGGTGGAGAAAGTGGAGAAAGGGAGCTTTTTCACCCTACTGGAACCTCACCTGTTGCAAGACACTCTTTTGCAGGATTCAAACCATTACTTTGGGGCATACTGTACTGCATAAAAGACACAGTAGGTATTTAGTTGCATGCTCAAGGACTATGGCTATTTGTATAAGGAAATGGCTTCTTAATATCATCTCTTCAAGCAGGTTAGATATTCTCACTGGATTATGATTTCTGCTGCCCACTGGTGGCAGAGAGTAGACACTGCTGCTGTAGTAATCAATGAACTGGAGTTCTCAAACAGATTGCTGTCAAGATTTTTAATAAGGCCTTTTGCTAGGCACAGAATTCCATTTTAACATATTCCATGTTAGCAACATGCATGTCAGTCTAGGTATTCTGTACAGAGGCAGGAGCTGTACTGCATATGTGAAGCTTCACTTGCTTATAGAGGTGACAGGTATCCCTGGATTTGCCCCAGGGATGTGCTGCCACTTTAAAAAGTGAGTCCCCAGCTGGGAACTCCTTTAAAATTTGCCACAGGGGGCTGATTCTAGAAGTTCACTTTTTAAAATAGCAGCAAATCCTGCAGCATGAACCTGGGGGATGTACAACGCATATCGGTGTGCTCTGAAAGGGAAGCTCATCTAGTGCCACTGATTTTTCTCCTACTCTTTTGATTCCTAGCCTGAGTAGTCTAACCCTTTGACCATGCATACAAATCAGAAATTAAATATGGCCTTAATGATCAGTAATTCCAAAATAAATTAATTGTTCACACAAAATGAACTCATAGATTGTATGGGTCTTTGACTTCACTGCAAGTGTGAGGGAGATTTTAAAGGAACTGACCACAGAAATTCTGCAGGATCTTCTGATGTCCGCTGTTCAATTAAAAACAAGTCATTATATGCATGTAATTATATTTTAGTATGTGATATTTGTATTTCTTTTAACAGTGGCATGTTCTATGATGGAAATCACACATATCTTATTGAACCAGAAGAAAACTACACCTCACATGTAAGTAAAACTTTAATAACTGTGTTTGTAGTGCAGATGTTCAGATATTTAAAGGAAAAATAGATCAAAAAGGCCAAATTATGTTTTCAGTAAATAGCTTAAGAATCATTATACATCAGCTACCAGGACATGGAATGTTTAAAATACAGTAACGCTTTGAGCATTTGAATTGTGAGGTATGCTGCATCAGAAGCATGGATGAAATCGGCAAGGTAAGATATTCTGTTTGGTTTACTTCATTTATAGCTCTCTTCTCGTGCAGCCTCACATTGGACTGTGCTTGCTCAGGCCGACCGTGGGACATTTTCTTTCTAGTTCAAAAACTCCAAAGAGGGGGTGCACTACCCCTTTCGGAGCAGACACATTTGTGGGATGCCCACCCAGCATATCCCATGCTCCGTTGGCAGGGGCCCCTTCCCTCAGTTCCTTCCCTCAGAGCCAGTGTGGTATAGTGGTTAAGAGCGGTGGACTCTAATCCCCACTCCTCCACACGAAGCCAGCTGGGTGACCTTGGGTCAGTCACAGTTATCCCAGAGCTCTCTTAGCCCCCTCCCACCTCGCAGGGTGTCTGTTGTGGGGAGAGGAATGGAAGGCGATTGTAAGCTGCTCTGAGTCTCCTTCAGGTAGTGAAGAGCAGGGTATAAAAACCAACTCTTCTTTTTCACCTCCGCGAGGATAGGAAGCTCACTAGTGTGTGCTGTTGATTTCTTTGTTGTTATTGTGAATGAAAGAAGACTCCTGTCTGTTTCACGGGAGGCAAGCCCCAGCACCCGGGCTCTCTCTGTTTTTGTGCTTGTGGTTCCTCGTCACAGTGTCCAAGGCACTGTTTAAAAAATGTGCAAAGTGTGGAACAAAAATGACACACCGCGATGAGCATGAACTCTGCTTTCTGTGCTTAGGAGAGGCCCACAGTGTTGGAGCTTGTTCAGTTTGCCAGTGCTTTACCCTGAAGGCTCAGTCAGATAGGGCCTCTAGGCTAAAAGCTGCACTGTGGGAGAAGTCTGTGTCCTTGGTTCCTTCCAAGGTGACTCCGAGCTCAGGCCCTACTATCTCAGGTCCACTTCCCTCGGCTCTGACTACTGAACCCTGTTCGGGGGCTCCATCGGTCCATTCGGTTCCCACGAGCCTGGCTACGAGGACGGCTCTGATCCCTCCAAACAGAGTCGCTTCAATCACTCTGGAGGCAGAATCTAGGCACCCGTGTTCACCTTCTCCAGGACCATCGACCAAGGTCTGGTTGCATTCGGAACCTCCTGCAAAGAAATATAATCTATTGAAGTATAAGGAGAAGACTGAGTCTGTGCCTAAATCGGGATGTGTCAAGTCTTCTAAGAGTCCAGAGGCTGATCAGGACATCATCCTGGTTCCTCTGTGCACCCATTGCCACATCTAGTCTCCTTTGCCAGCTTCTTTTCAGATGCAGATAATGACCAACCTAGCATCCCTGCAGGACAACTGGTACCCTTGGAATCAAAACTTCCCTTACTTTGACAACCAGCGGGCCCCTCTCAGCATTCTTACTACATGTTGCCATCCTATTAAATAGATGGGCTGGACATCATCCTCATACATTAGAGGGGCATGACCCAAATGCGTGGGGATACATGGATGCCCACTCCACACTTGTTCTATTCTGGACTTCATACCATGTGCCTGAAGAAAAGGTCTCTGCAGCATCTTGATACTGTGGGCAATCCGACCCCAGTGTCTCCTAGCAAAGACCTCCCTGGCTAAACTTATCGAGTCCAGGTGATTAAACGCCCCCTCTTTGGCGTTTTTGAGCTAGAACGAAAATGTCCTGCAGCCAGCCTGCACAAGTACAGTCCCAATGTGTTTCTGCACAGAAGACGTTGATAAACAACAATCACAGGTAAGTGCAACTCTGTTTTCTGTCAGTCCGCATATGACATCCAATAAGCAATGCAGTAAGACTAGGATTGACAAATCGGAAACAATGTGAATAAGGACGTAAGCAAAAAAGAAAAGCCTGCCTAAGGCATGGCATACCATGCAGAAAGTGGGTTATAAAGACAATGCATTAAAAGCACGATGATATATACAATAAACGTTGCAGCAGACTATGGTCCTATTTCCTTATAAAGTGACCTCCTGATCTGTTACATTACCTTTTATAAAAAATGCCAAGTATTTATTTGGCATAGTGTTTCTACATTTCATTTAGGTTGCTCAGCTTCGTTAACACACAACTTTTAATGCACTCTTTAGAACTAGACACAGTTCTGAGACAGTTTTATTTTGTATTAATTTTTGATATTTCTTATTTCAGGAGGAATTCCATTTACATTCTGTTTATAAATCCAGATTATTCGAATTTCCTCTGGATGATCTTCCCTCTGGTATGCTTTTTTTACTCTGCTTTCCTTGTTAGTTTTATTTACTATTAAGGGCTTGTGGGGTTTGATTTCTTTGTTTGTTGTTAATCTAAAAGTAGAAAATCATCTGCTAGCCTAATTGGAGATGGAAAACCTTAAATTCTGTTGTTATCTAATGGAAGAGCCCCCCCCCCCCGAAGGATACTTTGGGCTTTTCAATATTGTAACACTCACTTAATGATTTTGTAGGAGCCTCTGAAAATCAGAAATGGGTACTGATGCCTTTCCAGAAACACATTAGAGTTTGTTTTTAGAGTAAATATAAAAAGGAGAAATTCAATTCATAAATCCAACGAAGTGTTTTATTGAGACGTATCCCAATTGTGTCCAGATTTTGCATTCCCCCCCTTACATTAGTTTATTCTGAACAAATTAGACTTTCCATTTTTCTCAATCTTGCTCCTTCTTTATTTGATCAGTGTTGCTGTTAATTTTTTTTTATACTTATTTCTAGATTTATGCATTTATACCCTGCTTTTCTAACCAGTGGGGACCTAAAATGGCTGGTGAAAAACTATTTTTGCAGTCTAAAAATGTTCCATCACTTATGAAAATGTTATTTTTAAATCATTTTTTTAAAATCCAGAAACCTGAATGTAAAGCATTTTTAGGTCTGTTAGAATTCGTTAGTTTTCTTATATGTTACAGATTTCACGAACTGGAATATTGTGTGATAGAAAACCATTATATGTAACATGAAAGCTCTCTATAATGTCTGTATCTTTTTGGAGACTGCAAAGTCACTTTTCAGTTATTCATGGATCCCTCCTAAGGCAGTTTCAGAAATAGATGGAGAGTGATATACTTCTGATGTTCCTCAACAACATCTGCTTGTGTTCACTCAGATAAGGATACTGTGCCTCTAGTAAAATTCTGTAATGTTTATTAAAAAGGTATATTGTATTGTTTAGGAATGCTGGTTCTTATTCACATCATGAAGATTGTTTATTTGAATCCTGTCTTGAACAATACTGAGGTTTAATGTTCCTTGGCCAAGGCTGTAATCCTTCACAGACTTTCTCAGGAAAACGTTTCGACAGCAGTAGGACTGAAGGCTGTTTTTAGCTTTACATAATTCCTAAACTGAAAACATTTCAGTGTAGAAAAATAAGTGACATTTTCAGACTGCCTCTTCTTATGGGTACATTATGAGGTTATAAATGGCCACAACACTATGGTTAGAAAGCCAACATGGTATGGTGGCTTGAGTGCTGGAACATAATTTGGGAGATTCACATTCAAATCCCCATTTTCCCTGGAAGTTCCTTGAGTGATCTTTAGGGTTGCCATTTTCCAGTTGGGGATGGAGATTCCATGGTTTTGAGGGCTCCTGCCTGCCACAGGCATGCTGGCCTGCAGGAGGAAATTCCCCTCCCCAAACAGCGACATTGCTGGAAATAAATGCAACGTGCCTACATCACCCGGAAGTGACATAGGCACAACAATGACATTGGGGGAGACGACAATCTGGTTTTTGGGCAAAACTCTATGGTTTGAGGCTGATTTTACCATGGAGTTTTGCCCCCAAACCAGAGCATCACTCCCAATGTCAACAATGTGCCTGTGTCACTTCTGGGTGATGCAGGCTCTTGCGCGACAACACTTCCAGCTCCCAGTATGTCCCCCCCACCTCCACCTGCATTTCCACTGGACCAGGCAACCCTAGTCATCTTGGCTGTTTAACTTCTGTAGCCTAATCCACCTCACAGGTTTGTTGTTGAGAAAATAAAATGAGAGGGAAGAATGATTATGTAATCCAGATGATATATATAAAAACTCTCAAGAAGCATTTGACTGATGTTTTTGTAATTGATTTTTCTACAAACCTAGGGGTACCTCAGGTTTGCAGAAACATCTCCCCTAATCCTTAATGGCTCTTTTTGATCTACATGGCAGGGTCATCATGAGAATTAGATATATAATGGCTGTATGGTAGCTTGTAGGTAATACTGCAGAGACTCATGGCAGACTGACAGGATTCACTGTGGAGAGGTGGTATTTCGAAAGGAAGGAGTCCTAGAGGGAAAGAATCAAGCTAGTGTGAATAACTTCATTAGCAGATTTGCTCTGTATAATATGTGCCCCCAACAGATGAAGTATTGCTGTACCTTCGTGGTGGGTTGCCATGTTTTTGAAGTGTCACTTTCTATTACAGATATGCACTATGTTGACTAATTAATGAGTGCTGCTATTAAATACTGGTGGTCCCTTATGATTAAATTTTAGTTTGTGTGTCAGCTGGGCTTCTTGGGTGGGCAATCAGGGAACCCCTCTAATGTCTACAGTCTTGTGCCACTTGCAGTCCTGTCCCTTGTATAGTTAGTGTACTCAGCGGTGTTTACTCCTAGGTAAGTGTGCAAGGGGTGCCGCTAAATCTTTCCATTTGTGTGGAAAGCATTTTCAGGGGTTCAAAAACATAAAGCTTTGTTTTGAATCACTCTGGAAATGCTTACAATATCTTGTGACTCAGTGTATTTGTGTCTTTGTTCTGTAGTTGAAAATGCATATCTTTGTTACCAATCATATATTGACTGGAATGTATGTTCCGTTTTAGAATTCTGGCGCATGAATACCACATCACAAAGATTTGTTATGAGACCAAGACACAGAAGAAGGAAAAGGCAGGTATGTCTCTCTGTGCTGCAAACTCTAGTTCTTTCTCTCCTCTGGTCAAATATGCCTTCAGGCTTAGCTGTCAGTGTACAGATAATTTTCTTCCAGAAGTAACCATTTGTAGCCTGTTTCTGCTTCTAGCCTTAGGTAATCTAATCATTTATAAAAAGATGTCTGATATTCATCTAAATGGCTGAAAGGAGAAAAATGGCCTTTTAGTAAATGTTTATCTGTGGATTTTATTTTAAAAACAATTCTGGCCTGTCATTTAGAGGCTGTTGTAAAGTAGTGGTAAAGACACTGAGCTGTGATCCCAGGAAATCCTTGGTTGGAATGTTGCTTCTGCCACACCCTTAGTAATGGTCTTCAGGGTCAGACTGGGAAGTGAAAGTTTAGGAGCAAACCAAGCCAAGTGACTTCTCTGGTGCTACAAACTAGTGCTACTTGGCTTAGTAGTGCCAATAATGGGCACTTGGTTACCCTTTGTTTCCTCCCACAAACTAATGGCAGTGTGGAAGGAGGCAACTGTTGATCAGTGTGGCTCCTGAAGGACCCAATCCAAATGTCCATGATTCCACTGGCTGAGTTGCTGGTGCTTGACTCAGCTAGCTCTATAAAACAGCGGCTTACTAGGAATTTTCCCTGTAAGTTAAATGGCTAGTCCACCCCAGTCCTTAAGCAAGCCATACCCTCTCAGCAGCAGCCTCACATCAGCAATATGGAAATAATAATATGGATCTACTTTACAGGACTTTTGTAAGGACTACAATATGTAAGGGTTGTGGGATCTACTTTACAGGACTTTTGTAAGGACTACAATCAATGTTCCCTTTAAGCTGTAGAGTCTTTTGAGCAAAAATTCTACTTTGTGAGCTACTGGCATTAAAGTTGTGAGCGAGCGATTTGGATCCTGCATAAATTAGTTTGCTCTGGAGCCATCCTTCCTGAGCGAAGGCAAAAATGTGTGAGCCAGGGGCTAAAAAACTGTGAGCAAACTAGCTCACACTAACTCAGCTTAGAGGGAACACTGACTACAATATGTAAGGGTTGTGGAATTTGACTTTTCATCTGTGCTGTTTAATTTATATGAATGAGGTTGTCTGTAGATTTGGAGTTGAGTGTCACCATGTATGCTGAAGACATTCAACTCTATATTTCTTTGAACGAACCACCAGAAGCAGTAGGTTCTGGGAAGGAACTGTGCCTGGAGGATGAGGTCAAGTGGCTCAGAGGGCAGGAAGCCAAGTAAAGCTGAATCCAGACAAGAAGGAGAGTGATGCTGATTGGTGAAACAGAGACTCTGGAAGGGGTTTCCCTGCCCACATTAAATGAGGTTGGATTGAAATTGATCACGTCAGGTAACAGCTTAGGGATATTGCCAAATATGACACTTCTTTTAGAAAGTTAAGTGAATGTAGTGCCAAAGAACACCATTTACCAGCTGCATGTAGTACTAAAGCAACCCCTCTTCCTGCTGCAGTAAAATCTTTTTTGTTCTATTGGCTACATACTTATCAACTGCCATTCTTCCCATTCAGGCATATTGAACTCTGCCTAGAAAATTTCTACAGCCTTTTGCCTACCAGGACAAAGTTAACCCTGTTTTTAGGTTAACTCTGAGCATTTAGCATAGTGCAAATCAAACATTTCTCTTCTGGTGCTCTTGATTTATCATGTGACCTACCTCACTTTAAATCATTTCATTACACCAGAACTTTGAATTCTCTCCAGAAACAAATTTGTAGTCTTTTTAAATCTCTCAGAAATCTCTGAATTATCCCTGGAAAAAGCGGGGACGTGTTTCCTAGCTACACCCCATGTCATTAGCAAGCTGTTGAGCCTGTATCCCTACAGGACAGAGCAAAGGTTCATCATGTCATTATAGATACCACTGACATTTGTAATCCTTTGGCTCAGGTACAAGCTTCAACAACTCTTCTAAGTGAGGTCAGCATTACTGCTCCCCAAACCTTCTCTGGCTTAAATAATATATCTTAGCCAACAAATTTATTTATTTTAAAATTTATTTTACTTTATGTGTAGTCAGTTTTTCTCACTGAGACTCAAAGAGAATTGCATAATCAAAAACAATGCAGTGCACACAACCAGCAACGCAATAAAACAGAATTACAAATTTAGAGAAAAACACACTAAAACAGTATAGGTCATACAGCCCACAGTATGAAAAATCTGGATTACAGACTGAAGAAACAGTGTAACAACTGCAAATATATGCAGCAAACAACACAATGGAAACTACCAATGTTCCCTCTAATTTCCCCCCCTACTGAGTGGATCACTTCACATCTTGAGCAGAATAACTGCTGTAATCTTAAAATGGGCAATGAGCAGTACAAGACCCTGTGTGGCTCCAGAGACTGCTGCAGAGCGGGGCTTCCTGTGTTAATGAGTGGCCGCTCATGTGCACAGCTTAGAGGGAACACTGGAAAAAACATAAAATTTCACAGACATTAAGTATGACCCTATTCCCTTTATAAAAAATTCCTCTTGAACAATTCTGTTTTATACATTCTGTAGAATGATAAAAGTGTGGGAGCTTCCCTGACCTCATCAGGCAGGACATCCCATAAGGTGGGAGGCACTCAAGGGTACAGGTTTCTGTTGATTTTCACCATTTGACCAGCCCATAGATTTATGTCAGCACCACTAAAACAGCTTCTTTCAGGGATTACTCCTTCCTGTGTATTGTTAAGAAGAGAGAAATTCAGGGTCAAAATGTGTATGTGTGTCAAGTGCTGTCAAGTTGCAGCCAACTTATGGTGGCCCCAATAAAGGGTTTTTAAGGCAAATGAGAAGCAGAGGTGGTTTGCCATTGCCTTCCTCTGCAATCTTCCTTGGAAGTCTTCCGAGTACCAGCCCTGCTTAGCTTCTGAGATCTGTTGAGATTGGGCTGTACCATGCCACCTTCCCTCCCCAGGGCCAAAACACCTGATATAAAATATGAAGGTCAGGACATGGGTTCCCAAAACAACTCCTGATTGTATGTTTAATCAGGGATTCACCTTTAAAAAGCTGTCCATTCTTCTGTTAGGCTGCAAACAGGGCATGGGGGAGGGAGGGTCTTCCAGCTTCCCTCCCACAGCATTTTCACCACTGGAAATGGCCCTGTTGCCTCTTTTTTTGTCTTCACCTGCCCTGGACACCTAGTGCCAAAAGAAAGGGCAATCATGGCCTTCTAGGCACTACTTCTGATGGAAAATATGTGGCAGGAGGGAAGCCTGAAGCCCCACCCTCCCCCGTGCCCTGTTTGCAGCTGAACAGAGAAACTAAGGCAGTGTTCACATGCACAAGATAATGCGGGGGGGGGAAGTGAGGTTATTTGTTTCGCAGGAATTTGACCCACATTTGCGTGATCACGCAGTCCCTGGGAGCTGTGGGGGCAACCTGCAACTGCATGATCAGACGCAACCACGGGTGAGTCAGGGGGTTTTTTGGCCACATATTTCCGGTGCGCTTCAACACGGGATCGATGATTTGCATCTCCGCACTGAGTGCTCCCTATGCAGTGTGCAATGATGTGCATACCGAAACAGGGGGAAAACAACGACATGGAGTCGGGATGGCCCAATCAGACCATCCTGACGCCATGGAAGCGCGCTGGCGTGATTACACTGGGAAGAGTCCATTCCTGACCTGTAGCAAACTCGTTTGCTATTGGGTTTTCCCTGGTGTCTTTTTAGTCCACTTCTGCAGCGGAGCAAAACGGGTTGCCGACGGGAGTGGGACGCTTGGCAGATGTTGGCGTCTGATCGCGCCCTTAAAATCCGCCTGGGATTTGTGCCTATGGTGCGGCTAATTCTGCATGTGATCGCGCCCTAAGAGGGTTTTTTAAAGGTAAGCCCCTGCTTGAATGTATATTGAGTTGGTTTGGGAACCTGTGTCCTGACCCATGGATTTTATACCATGTGTTTTGGTCCTCAGACTCCCTGTGTGCCCTTTCCTGCAAATAAGCACCAGCAAGAGGGTAAGAGAGAATTTTCACTGACAAGGATAAGAGGCATCTATCTGTATGTCTTACAGATATGCAGATCTGTAGAACACAGCCCATCCATTTGCAAGTTTGCGGTATAATAAGACATGCCTAATAAAATTGACCAACTGGCTGTGCTGCTTGACAGAAATGTAACAGAATGTGATGGATCAAATGTTTAATTAAACAGACTGAACTGCAGATAGATAACAGTAAATCATCTCCAAAATAGAGTAAGTATTCACATATTACTTGCTTGAGCCCTGGTTCAGATAGCACAGGCTAGCCTAATCTTGTGAGGTCTCGGAAGCTAAGCAGGGTTGACCCTAGTTAGTATGGGGATGGGAAACCACCGAGGAAGTCCAGAGTTGCTAGGTAGAGGCAGGCAATGGTAAACCACCACTTAATGTGTCTTGCCTTGAAAACCCTACAGGGTTGCCGTAAGTCAGCTGCAACTTGACAGCACTTTCCACTACCACCACCATCTATTTGAAATAAAGATACAGATTGGGGAGGGGGGGCTAATAGAGAGAAAACTGTGTTACGTCAAATATTTAGTTGAGCTTCGCCCTGCAATGGTACTAGAGGGATGTTCTGCCTCTCCACAGACTGTGTGGAATTGTTCTGGATTTATAGCCTCAATTGTACAGAATAATTCCTCTGGGAAATTTCCTAGGAAATGGGGATACTACAAAAGCCTGCTGCACATTATATGCATCTATAAAGTGGGAAGAAGTATGATTCAAAAATAACCACTGAAAAACCCGAGGGTTTTTTTGAAAAAACAAATTGAAAAATTCCCAAAATAAGGAATTTGCTTTTCCCCCCTTAATTTGTTAGCTTGCAGATTATCAATTGGATTTACCTTATTTGTTATGCAATATATGTAGAGGTATTGTGCAGTAGAAAGATTGGGATTGGACAAGAACCAGTGTTTTAATGTAAGACTTGCTCATCATTCTTTTTCTATGGAGGTGTTCCTATTATAATCGAAATGTTAAACTTGTTTATAACCAGCCAAACACTGGAAGGCGTGACATATATTTTGATGCTAATTTGGTTGTCCAGAACTACTTTTAGAAGCTTTTCTAAATGAGGCCACGATGAAGGAAATAAATTAGCTTTGATGTGATTTTTTCAGAATTGGATGTTTTGCCTCTTTCAGTTTAAACATGTACAGCATCTTACTTTGTCTGCAGGTCCATCAGACTCCACAAAAGGTTGAAGAGGAAACAAAATATGTTGAGCTAATGATTGTAAATGATCATCTAATGGTGAGGTTTACATACTGGGCCTTTTTGAAATCATCAATAATGCAAGTGTGCCTTTTGTGCTTGTAATACATTAACGATTAAGTACCTACTGCAGAATGATTCTAATCATACAGCAGATGTTGTGCAAGTCTGAGCTCTTTGAAATTATGCCTGGGGCCACTCAGTAGCAGCTTTAAGAACAGGGGTAAGGTAAAGGTAAAGGTTCCCTTGCTCGAAAGCCAGTCGAGTCCGACTCTAGGGTTGCAGTGCTCATCTCCGTTTCAAAGCCGAAGAGCCAAGTGCTGTCCAAAGACATTTCCGTGGTCATGTGGCCACTCTGACTAAACACCAAGGCACACGGAACGCTGTTACCTTCCCACCGAAGTGGTACCTATTTATCTACTTGCAGTTTCTTGCTAGGTTGGCAGGAAAGAACAGGGGACAATCCAGTAAATATGGGCATTTAAACTTTTCTCATATATAAACTGGTATTGCTTTGAGAGCCACGTGTGTGCTCTGGCACTGTCCTGTTCTGGGAATTGTAGTATTGCTGACTGCTCCATTTATGCTGAGGTTTGGGAGCACACCTGTTTGTTCCAGGACTTAGTCATGGGAGGCCTGTGAAGTAGTATTGAAGAATGCCTCTGAGCATGTGCTAACTCAATTTCTCATTGTTATGGAAACTGTATATTTGGAAGTGCTGTGTCATTTTAAAACCAAATGTTATGACCACTGCATTTTCAAATGATTGGAAAAAATAGCATAGTATGCTGTGCTTATATGTAATTGGTTTTTAACTTTCGTTTAAATAGTGCTTGTTTGTGCTACAGGGTGCTTTAAGATTACAATTAAAATGATTTTTGTCAATGCTATATTTATATAATTAGTGTATTTAATTTAACCTACCTCAAGACATCTTAAAAAACAGATTATTAAAAGTGAAGAAAGCAGAAAATAAAGCTAATAGTAACACATTACAAATAAATAAATAGCACTAGCCAACAGTAGAATTTAAAAAGCAGCAGGAAAATGATTCTTAGATACCACTAAAAGTTTGAGAACTAGACAAACTTTGCTTTATTCCTAATTGTTAAGGCCGCCAAGCATATGGCTCCACCAAGCATATGGTTGGGGACAGCAATGGTTTGGCCAGTTAGTTGCTTCTCACTTACCCCCGCCATCGGGGGTTAAATTTGTACTGCAATGCCATATAGGTTTTATGCTTTTTGTAGACCATCCGTTGTTTAAAGATTTCTGTAATTATTTGTATACTTAGATTAATGGACTGTTTTTATTTATTTATTTGATGTAAAATGTGTACCGCTCTAAGCCTGCTTTGCGGGGAGAATGGTATAAAAGTCAAATAAATAAATAAAATAATACTGATAAAGCAAAAGAGGCTTGCATAGGGAAGAAAATTCCAAAGTTCAGACTTCACCACAGAAAAGGCTCTTCCTCTGCCAGCAGCTTTCCCCGCCTGCAGGTGGGGGCACATAAAGAAGACCTCTGATAAAGATCTTGACTGGTAGGTTCGCGTAGGAGAAGGTGGTCCTGTAGACATAGGCCATTCAGACCTTTGAAAGTTAAAAGGAACACTTGTGAGTCAAACCTGGAAGCAAATGTGAAAGCCAGTGAAGAACTTGTAATTTCAAGATGATATGCATGCATTGGTTTAAAATTAACTAAAGGAATTCTGTGAGCTGATTCAGAATCAAATGAAACATGTGGGAGACCAATAACTGAATTTCCAGTGTTTTGTTGAACATTGAACAGCCATAGGAGTGGAGTATTTGATTGGAATGGGCATCTCAGTAATGGGGCAGGTGTATGGCTGCCATGGAAAAAAAAGTCCTGCTGCTTTAACAGAAACTTGATGAGGTGTTATTTACCAGGTAATGTTATTTACCTCAGTGCCATAAAAAGCTTCAACTTCCCAGTACCACACATTAAACGTCTGTTAGAGGGGCAGGGTGTTTTTTTCTCTCCAGGTTGTTGGCGACTCTGAACAGGTGGGTTTAATTGTTTTCGCTCCAGGCCTTTACCAGGCCTTAATCACCCCATCCTCAGCTGCTATTAGCACAAGTGATCTTTGGTCAGGGTATCTGCCCTTTCCCTCTCAGTCCAGATGGAGGAGGGATAGTGAGTTCTGTTGGGGAAGAGGCATGGTGGAAGGGGTTAAGCTCCCAGAAGCTGCTTTTTAATTCTAAAAAACGAATCTGCCACATAACAGAACAAAGCTAGCAGAATTATGACTCAGAAGCCAAGAAGTCCATCAATTCCTCAGTCAAATGACTGTAACCTAGGCGTTTCTTCGTCAAAGGTTATTCTTGTTCAAATAATTGGAATTCGTTGATGATTTACATTTTGGAGGGGATTGTGGACTCTGGTTCCTCATGCTAGTTTTTGTAAAAGTCTACCTTCTCTTTGGACCTTGTCTACATACAAGTTTCATTGTATGTTTCATCCAGGAACTTTAAAATTATTACATAAGATATCTGTTCATGGAATAAAAGGTTATTGATTCTTTTCTTTTCGTTCCTGAGAAACAGGAAATAAAGTAGTCATCTTTTATTCAGTGTACTCTGGGATTATTTGCCCTCCTTGTATTTATACAGCTATCTAAACTAGAGAGTGCCAAGAGTGTATTTTTTCCTTCATAATGGTTGCAAATTTTAGTTTTGCTGCCAAAATCAAAGGAAAATATCTACTTCTAAATCTTCAGCAGCACTTATTTATGCAGTATCAAATATCTAAAAGACTGCTGTGAAGAAGAGAGGAGAGCATGTCTTTATAGGATACTTTTGTTTTATAAGAGTTGTTTTATTGAAGATTTAAGGTGTAAGAATTGCTTTTCCACTGACAAGTTGGGTTGGGGTCCCTATGGTGCCTGCTGACACCTTTCCTGGCACTCGCCAGCTGGTTTTGGAAAGTGGGTGAGGCCAGGCAGGACTTGTATCCAGTAGGGTTACTGATTGCCCCTGGAGATCTGATTGCCTGAGCAGATTTTCTAAAAATTGCTTCAGTGGCAGCTGCCACCACAGCACAAGGATCTTCACTGTATGACTGAAAATAAGTTGTGTCTATACAAGAAAATACTTTTAAACAATATGTTCATTTTAAAAGGCATTCAATTAATCAGAATTTCTGCTGGAAATGTTGAAGAGTTGCTGTTAAAGCTATGCATCATTTCACTCCGTGACATGGTGAGGTAATCTCTGTTTCCTGCAGCAGCCATTTTGTAATTCCGTCCACCACCCTGTCTCAGAATTCCAAAGGTGCCTGTAAAGTCAAAAAGGCTGGAAATCCTTGAGTTAGATTATCAAAGCAGGGTATGTTATAAAATGGATGAAAAGGCACACACACGTGTGTCTGGGGGGCACTGAACAGGGATAGAAATCCCTTTGACCCAAAACTTTTCTCCTGACCAGAGTCTCCCTTTACAGAATACTGCAAGCTTTTAAGTCCTGTCCTATGAATAGACCAGTTCCTTCCCTTTCCCCTTCCCTTTTTAACTAATGGCCAGACAAAATGATACCTGTGGTCCCAAGGACACTGTGCTATTTTGAAGCAGCTTCCATCATGGAACTCCTTTTAATTGCACTGCATGGGCAGATTCTGGTCAGCACCGCTGTGATGCAGGGGGAGGAAGAGCTTCTGCCTTCTTCCAATGCTGTTTTTCCAACTAAAGGCAGCATTGGGGGGGGGCAGCTGTACGGGCAATTAATGATTAGAATTAATCTGATTAGAATCAAGCCCCATAGTGCAGTTAAAAGGATTTGTCCAGTAATAACTCCATGCTTGCAGAGATGGTGGGACGTTTCCAAGGATGAAATATTGTCTCATTCAGCCCTGACTCTCAGCTTTTCTCAGTATTCTGAAGGCAATGAACATGCTCATATCTCAAAAGGCTCGGGTTTCTTTTGGGATCTTTAAGATGACAAAATAGTGGGTTGTTTTTTTTTTTTTGCTTATCTAGGGAGTCCTGTAATGATACAGAAAATCTCAGCCTTGACTGTGGGTAGGCCTCTTTTGCTGCCTTGATGATAGGCACATGGCTGTAGGCCAACTTACATGCTACAGTAGTCTTTGGAATTTAAGAAGAGGGAGAATTTGCAGGTCAAATGCTGTTTTGTGAGTTTCCTGCAAGTAACTCAACTCCAAGACTCATAGGGCCTGATTCAAATCAACATCATAGCATGTGGGAAAAGGTAGTCTTAAGGCTTCCCCCCATGCTGTCTTTCTGATTTGAAATAGGTGACCACTGTGTGCCATGTTAAGGGCTTATGTGTAACCTGATGGTGCCTGTGCAGCCCTTGACAGGGCAAATAGTGGCTCTCCAGAGACATTTATGATCAGAAAAATGGCTCCCTCTACTTGCACACCAAGGTCTCAGTCCAAATTTGGCCCCCCAACTCTGTATTTGACTGAAAATATTAGTGGCTGATCTGGAGTAGGGATGTGTGCTTGGTATATACTAAGCCGAATAAATAACCGAAAAATACTGAAATAGCCGTGCACGAATAAAAGCTGATATTATCCAGTTTTTATTCGGGTGCAGCTAGAAGACATTTAAGGATACTGTTATCTTCTTAAATTCTTTGTGAGTTCACTTGCCAAGTCACACCGCTGTGGTGGCGCAACTCTATGATTGAAGTCAGCAAGCATTTAAAGTTTAAATACCTTCTGAGTTCACGACTTGACTCCGTGAGTGAACTCAGAAGGCATTTAAAGAGACTGGTTCCCATAGGGTATAATTGAGCCAAATAAATTTGGGTTTCCAGAATACTTACCTGAATCCCAATACAAAACCAATATTTTGCACACCCCTAATCTGGAGATATCCATAATGTATAGTTTGACCTTATGATGTTTTATACAAGAAGAAATAATACTATACAAGTGGTACCAAATATTCATTTCACCAGGCTTTTAGGAATATGTCCCCATCTATTACTTTTTCTTGTTCTGTACCATTTTGTAGCTTGCTGTTCCATATTCTTTGCATGGTTTATTTCCCCCATAGTGCATTTGTCTGCTTCTTAGTTTTAGAGGTCATCTATAGCAATGATTGCCAAATCTCATCTTTTTACTTATCTGTTGTTTCCAGCTTTTAGAAACTAATGTTCTTTAGTTGTTTTTTCTGTGTCAGTCACATGAGATTTGGCATCTTCTAATCATAGATGTTCCCCAAGGCCCTGTGAACCACTTATTGATGCACTTCAAAGAGAACCCAATGCAACACATGAGCTTGGCAGTATATTATGATTCCAGTTATGTAGAAAACAAAATAATTATAATTTCTCCTATTCCCTGATGCGCCGATGAGGAACATCTTTTTGTATCTGTCACAACAGCAATGGGGCTTTCATCATGACAAAATTTCTATATGGAAAGGGATTCCATGTAGCTTGCTAAGTGATGAGTCAGATGGATGGATGGACAGATGGATATTTATTTGCATTATTCATTGTCTAGCTTTCTCATTGAGACTCAAGGCGAATTATGCAGTGTAAACCAGGGCAATCAATAGAATAAGATATTTGATGAGCAAAGTAATAGGAGTATGATTACAGAAAGCTGAAACAATACATAAGTATTATTTATTTAGGATACTGCTGCCTCTTCAGACTCTGCTCAAGGCGGCTTATAATTAAAATGTAACAATGTGAAAAAGTCTTTAAAAACAAGCAATGGAACATAAATAACATTAAAATCGTCCTTAAAACAGAAACAGACCATTAAAAAGCTGGTAAAATAAACCACCTAATTAAAAATCTGAGTAAAAAGATATGTTTGGGTCTGGCACCTGAAAGAAAAAAAGGAGCCATATGTGACCCTCATGGGGGAGAGCATTCCAGAGGTAAGGTGCCATCACAGAAAATGTTCTGTCTCTATTTATTTGACATTGGAATTGTATAGGTATTGGAATTGTATAGGTAGAAAACAATGTAATGAGACCAAGGTAATATACTCAGAAAACAGATAATATATACTGTACATAGTGGTGTAGTCCACAGTCCTGTTCCCTTTATTAAAATATGTTGAACCATTGCATTATAATATAGCTCTGTTACCTTTATAAAACTGCGCTCTTGAACAGTTCTGTTTTACGCCATTTGCAGAGTGCCAGAAGTAAAGGGGCCTTCATGACCTTCTCAGGCAGGCTACTGCAAAAGGTGGAGACCACAACAGAAAATGCATGTGTACAGGCAGTTGTTGATCTCACCCATTTGCAGGAAGGTACCTGTAGACAGCCCTTCTTGGATGAGTTAAGGTGTTGTGGCTGGGCATAGGAAGAGAGGTGGCCCAAGGCCATGTAGGGCTTTCTATAGATAGACAGGACCTTGTAATGAATATGGTGCCAAATGAGCAGCCAATGGAGTGACTGCAGAATGGGCGTAATTTGCATGCTGCACCTAGTTTCTGGTAATAGCTGGCCTACAGCATTTTGTCTCTGGAGTCTCTGAGCTGACTTCAAAGACAGACCTATGTAGAGGGCATTCCAGTAGTCTAGTCTTGATGTTACCATGGACCCATGGTGGCCAGATTGATTATAATTTTCTTCATTCCCTTTGCCTTTGTACATTTGCAAAAATAAAACCATCTTCTTTATTATTCTCACCAATATATATATATTTGCCATGAAAATATAAAGTATTGTTTTTATAGTATCAGGTCTCTTAAAAGGCTTAGAGAGCCTGCTTTATCATGTCATATAAAGTCTATCTGAAATAGGATGACAGGGACCCAGCCACCTTGACACCTGGATGGACATGCACTTATAGGGAGGTAGTTCTGTTTTTGTCACAGTGCTTTGGTTTGTTGATATGGATAGAAAGAGAGGGAACTTAAGATATGCAGGTAATTAAAAGGAGTTTCACTGAAAAGCAGCATGTTGAATTCAGTCCTGGTGCTTATAAGTAGCTAGTGCAGTCTGGTTAATGTGTTCCTCCCACTCTGTTACTGAGATACATACCATTGTGGATTTTACTTTTGTGTACTTGCTGATGAGGCTTTACAAATAGCAGAGGAAAGAAGGAAAGCGAAAGGCAAAGGCGAAAAGGAAAGATTTACCCAACTGAATGCAGATTTCCAGAGAACAGCAAGGAGAGATAAGGAGGCCTTCCTGAATGAACAGTGCAAAGTAATAGAAGAAAACAATAGAATGGGAAGGACTAGAGATCTCTTCAAGAAAATTGGAGAAATCAAGGGAGCGTTCCATGCAAAGATGGCCATGATAAAGGACAAAAACGGTAGGGACCTAACAGAAGCAGAAGAGATTAGGAAAAGATGGCAAGAATACACAGAAGAACTATACAAGAAAGACCTCGATGTCCTTGACAACCATGACGGTATAATCACTGACCTCGAGCCAGACAGGATGGACATGCACTTATAGGGAGGTAGTTCTGTTTTTGTCACAGTGCTTTGGTTTGTTGATATGGATAGAAAGAGAGGGAACTTAAGATATGCAGGTAATAAAAGGAGTTTCACTGAAAAGCAGCATGTTGAATTCAGTCCTGGTGCTTATAAGTAGCTAGTGCAGTCTGACTAATGTGTTCCTCCCACTCTGTTACTGAGATACATACCATTGTGGATTTTACTTTTGTGTACTTGCTAAGCAGATATGTATGATGTGGCCTCTAGCTGGAAAGGTAGAAACACCCAAGAATTCTGGGAGAAAGAATGCTGGCCATCTGCAAGAACTTCCTTAAGCATGCTAGACTCTGTGCTCTTTTGGAATTTCAAAAGTTAGTTAGGGTTTTGTATTAACAATTTGAACTGCTGATACATGATGTCAGGAGACATTAACTTTTAAAATGTTATATTGGTTCCCTTGTGACTTCAGAAGATTTTACTTTGGGGAAGAAAAAACAAGGAATTGGTTGGTATGTGTTAAATTGTAAAGAAGAGTACAGTTGAAACGTGACTCTGTGAAACATAGCCTATGTAATAATAACAAACAGGAGTTTGTGAATGTTCAAGGTTCTGGCCATTTACACTCCACTTTCTTAGTTTGGGTCTCCTGCCAAAGGTCATCATGGACATATGCACTACCATGAATACTAGGAAGCAGATATAATGGCCGAGTTCAGACTGGCAGTTTGCCACGATATAGACACGAGCCAGAAACGTTCCACAACCAGATTGAAGGGGCCATTCACACAGGAACATCTGTCTGGCGTTCCCCAGCCATACTCAACCTGTCTTTTAACGCTTCGCTCCCAAGTTTAAAAGGTACCTGGTGAAAGTGGTATCAAACCCTGGAAAGCGCGATTCTCCTGCGTCCATCCCACACCAACAAAGTGTGAACGCCAAAAGCCGTGGTTTTTTTCTGCGCCTATGCACATAAGCGCTCATGCACATAAACGCATATCTTCAGAATACCAAAAAGAAAGCCGTGCCTTACAGCCGTGCCTCCGCCAGGGGCGGGCCAACAGTGTGAATGCTCCCTTGCGCCTCCTCCCCGGTATGCTCCCGCATCAGTCGGTGCAGTGTGACCAGGAAAACCTGGAACAGTTTGTTCCAGGTCTTTTTTGCCACGACTCCCTCCCGCTTCAAACTGCCAGTCTGAACTCGGCCAATGTCACTGCTTCAAGGTTACATTTTGGAACCCTGCAATGGCATAGCTGTTGGAACTTTCCCATCGGAAGTACATATGTACCACCCATCATACTGTAGGATCAGGCTGCTAATTTTCTTTCAAATTAGTGCTATTCTGTTTATTTTCTTATTACCATTTGTTGAATGTATTGGCCACCAATTAATATATTTAACCCTCGTAGTTACCATTGTGAATAAGCCAAACAATATTAATGATTGAGTCGTTTGTCAGTCACAAGCAAGCAGCTCCTTTGATAAAGTTGTTTCTGAATGGAAATTGTATTTCAAGAATATGTTTAGAATTTTTCTTTCTTTGTTTCTTAGTTCAAAAAGCACCGATTATCAGTTGTCCTCACAAACAACTTTGCTAAATCAGTAGTGAACGTGGCAGATTTCGTAAGTATAACTAACCAGCTGCTGTCCTAGATCTATTGTGAGTCTTATCACAGGGACAGTAATTTCAGGACATAATGAGAGAGAGAGATAGCAACAGCATCTTTATTCATCGGTCTCAATTGAGCCAGACTCTTAATGGTAGATGAAGTCACACTTATCTCAGTAGAACCATTCCTGCATTTCATATTATGTTTATCATGAAATATCTTGCTGAATCAAAGTTGTGACTCTTTAAAAAGCTATCCTTTTTTAAACAATGACCCTTGCGGGTCTCCACTTGTATATTCTAATATTTAGACCTTGATCACATCTGTTCAACCTGTTAGAAAGGAGATGACAATTGTCCTTCAGGAATGTAATGTTCTTTATGCTCTATATATTTTAAAAGAGGCAAAAGTTACTGTGGTGTTTGCTGATTGTTTGATTTGTTAATGTTCTAGATTTATAAAGAACAACTCAACACCAGGATAGTATTGGTTGCTATGGAAACCTGGAGTACTGATAACAAGTTCACCATATCTGAAAACCCACTGGTGACTCTGCGTGCATTTATGAAATACAGGAGGGATTTTATCAAAGAGAAAAGTGATGCAGTTCATCTTTTTTCGTATGTAATTTCATTGGGCTTTTTGATTACTGCTTGGGATAGGGAGGTCTAACCCTCTCATTCTGTTGCTAGTACAGACTGACACATTTTCCCATGTGTTCTTGTAAGGTGACTGAACAAACTGCACAGGAAAATGCCTAGGGAATAAAATAACACTGTATTTTCATTGTTCCAGCTTTTTAGTACCCGGGCCCAAACAGCAATTTCTGTAAACATCCTTTGGAGTAATCTGTTTCTTCTAAAGCACCTTTTAGATTAAACCCTAGGTTCACCTGTACTCTGTTTCAAAGTCCAAAGCAGAACAGGCAGCAGCAGAAATATTTGCTTAAACCCAATCGCTTTGTAAAGCTGACATGGGATTTCTAGGGCCAACAGGGTAAGAGCTACCAACCCACCCACCTGATTTTGTGATTTACTACAGTCTGCCCTTTCAGGTACTTGTTTGCTCAGAAAGTGAGCTGGTTTGGAGAGAAGTACTTGGAGGGTGCAGCTAAGAAGGGCTGTGACCATCTCTGCTGATCTGTCCCTGTGGTAGTTACATTGGATATTTGTACTAATCTAACATTCTTATGACTGACTTCCCGAGGAGTAATACAGGCATAGTAAGCAAGCATCTTTTGTTTTATTAGCTGACTTAAGGTGGAATTTTTCTAATCCTATTCTCTGCGGAAACTTCACAGTAGTCCAAGTGCCCTGATGGGGCACATTTGATTCCTACAAACGGCACTGAAACTGTGCAGATAATAATATGGAACTTTGCTAGTTTACACAACGTTCAGACTCAAACATGAAACAGAGTGGGTAGCACAGTCCACCCAGGGGTACAATTTTCCATACTCACAGAAACCTTATTTACCTTATTATCAGAGTGGTGAATCAACCAATTGGGAAGGCCTCAGACACATCCCCTTTCCATTGTCTGTTTGGAACATTATAGTTTTTAGATTGTTGTTGTTTTCTAATTGTTTCCTTCTGTTTTTTAAAGAGGGAGTCAGTTTCAGAGCAGTCGCAGTGGGGCAGCTTACATTGGTGGAATTTGCTCGTTACTGAAAGGTGGAGGTGTGAATGAAGTAAGTCTTCACAGTTGTAGAAATACAAACTGGCACAGTGATCTCAGCATTCCATTGTATATTTTGACAAAGCCATCTCTTGTTCTTTGTTCATTACACAGTGTAATGCTCTGTTCTAGGAAGTTTCAAAGACCAATCCCCTTTCCTGTCTTTGGGTTCTAGGGTTGCCCCATGCCCCATCCTAAATAATCTTCCCTCTAGATCTCTACAAGTTTGTTTTGATCTAAAAATAATGAGAACCTGAAGAGCTAACTTAGAAACTGATGAACTTCTTGTAATGGGAAGTTTAAGCCAGGCTGCCACCTTTCTGTACTGTTAGAGTTCCTTTACTGGGTGTTAGAGAAAAGTGTTCCATCTTTTTAAGAGCAGTTTCAGGCTTCATCTTACATTCCACATTCACAATTGCAGAAGGTCCCCTA